GCTCGTAATGGGGAGTTCTCTCTTTGATCATTCTGACCAGCACTCTTTTTTCTAAGGCTGTCATGTTTGGTTTCTGATTCAGCCAATGTTCACTCAGTCCCATATTTTCTAGATCATGACGGAATTTTTGTCGCTCTGTCATCCAGTTTTTATACTCTTCCTCTTTCTGCGTTTCTTTTTCTGCAATTAATTCTTCCTCGGATGGTTTAGGCTCTGCTTGAACCTGTTCTTTAAGTTCTGCATTCAAAACTGGTGGAGAAAGGGGAGGGGACTTTCGACCATGATAAACCCCCAGTCGATGTTTCAGTGGTGTTTCCATAGGTGGGGCAATCATGACTCTCTTTCTACTCAGTGGCCCTCCAAAGATTCTAACTGCAGCTTTGTAGTGCTTGATATGAGCAAGATCGCGCTTTTTGAATGAATTCAAGCGCTCATCCACTGGGATATGATCTAAGTTATACTCATCAAAGAGGCGATGGAGGGGGTAGCTTACATCCGTGTCTGTCAGGTCCACAGGGCCAGCTCTGTGTCTTGGAGGCATGGTGATTTTTTAGTCTTATTTTTCAGTGGTTCATTCAGAATAGTTCATGAAGTTTCATGGTAAAAAACAATTTTGGGGTCTGAAAATTGAAAGTAAAACATTCAAAGACTTATATTCAGTGGCATTAAATTTCTTAATCATGACAAGTTGTGGACCAGCATATATATTTTTGTGCAAAAAATATTTGGTTTTTTCTTTGAAGTTTTATGAGTTTGCAAACCGGTTCCAATTTAAAAAGAGAGAGGAAAAAGGGCTACAATAAATATCATGAACATCATAATCCATCTCACTGATTTCTATTTTAGAATGATTAATTGTAAATATGTTTTATGAGCATTTAACAACATCACCGTTGTGTTATCGAGCATTCACGCCATTGAAATCCGCCATCTTTGTTGCCCTATAAACATGCGAGAGCGCCTCCTTCCGGCCAAGAGAATTTGGAAGGGCGTTCACTCTATATCATGCATTAGATCTACGGTGGCTCGTTTAGGAATACTAGACTTTTTTCCCCTTTTTCTGAGTGCATTTTTTTCCTAATAGGTAGACAAATTCATTACATTCACAATAAAACTGAAAGAAACCGATTGCGCGATTTGGATCTTTGAGCTGGTAAACTTCACATCGGTGTTACTCTCACTGGCGCATGATTTTCGGCATGATTACCTCCGTCCCACTGTAGCCTGGATTTATCAACACTTTCTAAATTCTAGCAAACAATCCCATTTACCCACTCGACTGGTCTCCATTAAGTCTATCAGATGGAGGACCCGAGAAGGTGGTTTCATAAAAGGCATAAAAATTTAAAATACAAATACAAATACTTTATTGGCACAAACACACCCTACAATAATTGGCAAAGGCCTACAGAACATCATTAAATAATGATTACATATTTTTCAAAATTTGTCAAGTAATTGACTTCTAAGTTCAAAACAGTCTAAAAGAAATAAAGTGATGAAAAGACAGTTAGTAAAATCTATTCTAGGCCTATATAGTGCTGTAAAAATAAAGTTCGAGGTGATAGACCAACTAAAAATAAAACATGAATTTACACACTATACATTAGCTTAGCTTCTAATATAAAATTGTTTCGGCCCTAAAAGTACTTATAAACTCATTATAAAACAAGATGTGTTTGTGAAACACTATGCGCCCGGCGGCATCAAAGTTCAAAAAATCTATTTTTAGCATATTGGTCACAGTCAAGGTCACAAGGTCATTGACCTTGGTGTCAATTGAAAGAACTTAATCGGTGGAGTATGCATACCAAATATGAAGTCCCTATCTCCTATGGTTCAAAAGTTGTGGCAAAAAGTGTAAAAAGCTATTTTTAGCATATAGGTCACAGTCAAGGTCACAAGATCATTGACCTTGTCGTCGTTTGAAAGGACTTTATTAGTGGAGTATGCATACCAAATATGAAGTCCCTATCTCCTATGGTTCAAAAGTTATGACAAACAGTGGAAAAAACTATTTTTAGCATATAGGTCACAGTCAAGGTCACAAGGTCATTGACCTTGATGTCATTTGAAAGGACTTTATTAGTGGAGTAGGCATACCGAATATGAAGTCTCTATCTCTTATAGTTCAAAAATTATGGCGAAGGTTAAAGTTGACAACAGACAGACAGGACAAAAACAATATACTCCCGGGATCTATCGATCCGGGCGCATAAAAAGTCCATCTCTTCTCATTGAACACGTGGGACTATGTGGAAGACAGGGTTCGAAATGCCCAAGATAGTCCCTTTCAACTAAGGACTATCTTAAATTTTTGAAAATGTTAAAAAATGGATAAACAGACTGACTAACTCCATGCAAAGGAAAAACAAGACTGTGACAGATAGGTGAAGGAGACATAGAAAAAATGCGAATTTTCAAATTTGGTGAGTATCGTCATATTAGTTTCAATAACGTACAAATATTGATTCAAAGTCAAATGGAATTTTAATTTCATTTTCACTGAAAGTGGTGTATATTAATTTGGGTCTGTCTGTATGTGTCTGTCCGTACGTCCGTCCGTCTTTCTGTCTGTCTGAACTGAACGCTTTCGTTTCCGCACGATTTCTCGAGAACCCTTTCAGCTTTCGCAATAAAATTTTGCGAAGCAACTCCCTATAGACTAAAGAAGAATCCTATTGATTTAGAGGTCTAAAGGTCAAGGTAATAAATTCTGTCTGTTTTAACACTTTCATTTTCGCCCGATATTTCGAGATTGTACAAACACTTCTGGACAGTTCAGTCGACTGTCGTATTTAAGCCATAATACGTCCGTAATGTAGGGTCTTCAGATTGAAAATCTCCACTAATTAGATAGGGGTCACGTGGTACTGAAACGTCATAGGTGTCAATGGGCAATTAGACCTCGTAAAGCGTATCGTAAGAAAACATCTATACCGTATAGATATTTGCCTGAAATAAAAAGAATACACCACTAGGTTGAAAGAAATTTTGATATTGACAATATTACTTTGGCTATGGATGCTCAATCTTATATGTTTTAACTTCTACAGCATAAAAATAAATAAAAAACACACCGTGAAAAGAGGAGAAGGCATTGAAGACGAAGCCGTTGACAACTCCTGTGGCTTCGACTAAATAGATCGAATTATTAACCTTTGACTTCTTAAATAATTATAAAAATGGTCATACGTTTTCTTTCTTCGTTATTTTAATAAATTATACATAAACAGATCTTGTGTATCTTCTATCTGTTCCAGCAATGAACATCATTTGATAGAAAGGACACTTCGATCTTCAATGGCGCCGTACGCAATGGTACGCCATTACGAGCTTCACAACACTAGTCTTTGTGCATTAAATGCATATTGATTTTTTTTTTTTGAAAAAAAATACTATTTCCATTAAATATATATTTTACATAATACAGAAAAATTTTGATCGTAAATAAACCAATGCTCTGAATATATAGACAAATCCTCGCACCGACCAAGTCCCTGGCAGGTAAAAGAAACTTCCTAAAACCTTTCCTGTGCTGATTTTTCATCTAAACGCCACAAATTATTTATAAATATCTATTGATTAACCAATTATCATTTCTTAATTACTAGTAGGGTTTATAGACGAAGCCATTGGGTCGTTTTGTAAACACAATAAGTACTTCGCTTGACCAGGACTGACACCTATGACGTCAGAGCAATGGCGCGTATGGCATGTCAAACGTTGCAATATTTGATAATCTTGTGATGTATATTCAAAATCTTGTGATGTATGTTCGAAATCTTGTGATGTATATTCAAAATCTTGTGATGTATATTCAAAATCTTGTGATGTATGTTCGAAATCTTGTGATGTATATTCAAAATCTTGTGATGTATGTTCGAAATCTTGTGATGTATATTCGAAATCTTGTGATGTATATTCAAAATCTTGTGATGTATATTCAAAATCTTGTGATGTATGTTCGAAATCTTGTGATGTATATTCAAAATCTTGTGATGTATATTCAAAATCTTGTGATGTATGTTCGAAATATTGTGATGTATATTCAATATCTTGTGATGTATATTCTAAAACTTGTGATGTATATTCTATAATCTTGTGATGTATGTTCGAAATCTTGTGATGTATATTCTATAATCTTGTGATGTATATTCAATATCTTGTGATGTATGTTCGAAATCTTGTGATGTATATTCAATATCTTGTGATGTATGTTCGAAATCTTGTGATGTATATTCAATATCTTGTGATGTATATTCGAAATCTTGTGATGTATATTCAATATCTTGTGATGTATATTCGAAATCTTGTGATATATATTCTATAATCTTGTGATGTATGTTCGAAATCTTGTGATGTATATTCTATAATCTTGTGATGTATATTCAATATCTTGTGATGTATGTTCGAAATCTTGTGATGTATATTCAATATCTTGTGATGTATATTCGAAATCTTGTGATGTATATTCAATATCTTGTGATGTATATTCGAAATCTTGTGATGTATATTCTATAATCTTGTGATGTATGTTCGAAATCTTGTGATGTATATTCGAAATCTTGTGATGTATATTCATTAATCTTGTGATGTATATTCGAAATCTTGTGATGTATGTTCGATAATCTTGTGATGTATATTCGAAATCTTGTGATGTGTGTTCTACAATTCAGTGATGCGTGCAATAAAATTGCATGACGCAACAGAAAAGTAAGGACAATTTTCATTGGTTAGAAATAACGAAAGTAGCTGAAGCGTCGGGAAAACCATGCAGGTGAGAAAAAAACATCAGTTTGTTTATTGCAGCACTAATTACGAGATGCACGAGTGTTGTTCCTGGTGACATGATGAAGATATTTCGGCCTGCTAGGGAAAAAACTCAGTAAACGTAGATATATTGACAAAATTTGTAGGTACTTGTAACGATATGTCACGATGCTGCATTGTCAGATACAGTATTTATACATGCAGGCTAAAAAGTTAAATCTCGTAGTAATCAATATAGCAGAAGAATAATGAAGAGTACATACTACAAAAACTGTGCAATTTGTAGCAAGATTAATTTTTGTTTAACAGCTGTTTTTATTACATTTTATTTCGTATTATTACTACCAAATACTGCTACCGTTTGTTAATGTTATGCACATGGTTATCTTGTACTTGCAAGTAAATGTAACATTTAAAAAAAAAAATAATGAAAAAATAAGTCATTTAGGCTATTTGATAATAACATGCTAAATGAACATGTTTTGCTTTTTAATTCTCCTTCACTCAGTCTTTGTATAATGTATATTTTTAGACGAGCTGATTGCCAACCAGGAGATCAGAATGATCGCATCTGCTCCTGCCACTTTAAGGATGGTAAGAAGGAGGGGGACCCTGCATATTTTGCATGGAATGAAGGAAAGGCCATGGATTTCTCTGATCCTGAATTTACAAAAAGGTGAAATTATTTTTCAAAATATGACCGACATCTTGTTTTTGGATGGTGGGTGGGTGGAGTTTAATTGAGAATATTTTACTAAAAATCTTTAAAAGGGTACATGTATAAACAGAGTAGCTTACAACTGAATAAAAAATAATTCAAGTTTAATTATTTTACAAAGGAGGAAAAAACTCAAAAGTGAGGAGTCCCCGTCATCTTCACAGATGGACCAGTTGCAGATTCCACAAGCACCAAAATGTCAATATCAAGAAAAAGTAAAGCTCATTTAAATCACCAATGATGACAAATGACCAACACTGAAACATTTTCAATAATTTTTAATAATATATAAAGTTCTTTTAACTGTACATGATTTACAATATATTTTCAGTTGATATCAGAGCACAACTACTCAGCATCCTGCACATTTAACTGTACTCAAGAAATGCAGCGCCTCTCAACAGAAATACAACTGGAAAAGGAATTGCTTGCCCTAAAAATAGAGTCTAGTAAAAGGAAGCCAATATCAATCCACGATATTAAATACAACGAAGAGAAGGTACATTTAAAGGAATTCCAATTGTGATTTCCTATTTCCTAACAATTTCAGTTACTGTAATAAAAACTTGTTGCCATTGAGGGATGAACATCTTAGATTGACTGTTATGTTAACATATTTTGTTATTATTTGGGAGTGTTAGGTATCTGATCAGCAGGGGCATTTTCTCTATATAAGAAGAAAATGGAGACTCCCTACCCACCTGATGTATTTTGTCGGACAGTTTTCTGTACATTGCAGGTAAATTTTTTATTTAACTTTCCAGCCTCTTATTGTATAGTACATTTTGGGGTTTGAAGTCAGTTTTTGCTTTTCTTTAATTTTTAAAAAAAAAATTTTAAATTCTCCTTTTCTTAGAATAAAATTCAAAAAGTAGCTTCTGATTGTAATGTATAAGACTACAGACATTGAACTTTGATTTGTTATCAAAAGGATTGATTTAAACTTGTCTAAATTAATTGTAAACAAAAATAAAAGGGGGCACCTGCTATTTCTTTAAGTGTTTTTCACTGGGGGGTGGGGAAACTTTTTTGTACATACTTAAGCAATAGGAGGGATTAGATAAGAATCAATTAGTATATCAGAGTCTTAAATAATATACTTTGCATAAGCATAAAAAAATTCTATATCAGTCTTTTTAAAACCTTTGAATTTTGCTTAATTAACTATGATTTATCCAATTTTGGAGCTTTTTACCTAATTCTGGGTAGAATCCACCCTTATGAAATTATTGACTCAATTTTGACTTAATATCACTTTATTAACATTAAAACACAAAAAAAATTCATTGTACAAATATTTTATTTATTACAGTCACCAATATATCCAAATATCATCACCGGCCCAGACGTCATTCACTCCTTTGAATTGTGCTGGTAGCAGTAAGGTGTCATCATTTGAGATGGTCACAGTATCCAATACACTGAAGTCACAGGACTCAAATTTCATACATGTTCACAGGTAGGTGTATAGTCTTTGAAATTACCACAATTGACTAATTCTGGGACAGGTAAGTATGTAAGTATAGGAATGAGAGCACCAAATCCCCGGATGTACATATGGCTTTGTTTGTTATGGAACATTAAACCGAATACTGAATGGGTAGGCGTTACGCCATTGGCTGAAATCAGGTATTTAATTGTTTTTATTTTAAAGTAAAATTAATGACCTTTGAAATAAATGATGGGATGAGGGAATATTACAGAAACTATAGAAATGCCAGGGAAGATTTTAGGAGTGGGGGTTGATTTTTTATGCCGCGTTTTATTTACTGCGAATCTCTATAAGTTGAAAATAACTGCAATTTTGACCTATAAACGCCATGGGACCATATATTTTTTTCAGTATTTTTTGTTAGGGCTTAGAACAAAGTTTGAAATGATGCTAAAGATTTTTCTGAAATTGTCATAGTAAAGTACTGAGAGGGCCTAAGGTTTGTATGGAGTTCTATGGGAAAATAATTGGTGGTCTTTTCCCTATACAAGATGCTGTCTGATGGCGTAGTGTAGAATGTAGCGTAGAATGTTTTCCAAGTCAGCTTAAATGCAAAGGTTTGTTTTAAAATTTATCATAATGACTTGCAAAAATTTAATGCAGTTAAATTTATTGTATTCTTGAAAGATTGACTGTAACACAATTTTTTTACACAATTACAAATAATCAAATTAATTTTTTTCCAACTTTTTTTCAGGGTCTCTGCCAAAATCTTTTGAGGATTTTTCCTCTGCTAGAGCATCCATGGATGCAATTGAAACAACCCAGGACATCCCAACACATATGGATAATCAGGCCATGGCCTACAGTATGTACAAAAGTTGCCATACTTTTAAAGCAGTAACTTGCGCGCTTCCAAATGGTGCACTTACATTTTGCTCCATGCTGTACCCAGGTTCTACTTCTGATGTAGCTATTGTACGTCACAGCCAAGTTTTACGAAAGTTCAAAGCTGGAGACCTTATTTTGGTGGTCAAAGGTTTCACCATTCATGACCAGTTGCCCCAGGGTGTCTGCTTAATTATAAAAGCTCTTTTATCGACACGAGGCCAGTTTACCATACAAGAAGCAGCACTGTGTTACAAGATTGCTAAAGCACTTATTCATGTGGAAAGAGCCAACGAGAGGATAAAGAATTACGAGATTCTCCGTCACATACCATCTACTTACAGACCAATCTCAACAAAATATTTCAACTCTGTTCTTGTCTTGTAAACTTGCAAGCTCCACTTTTGAAAGAAATTACTTAAAGATAAATGTACTTATTATAAATTTGCATTGGCATGTGACAGTATACACTAAACAGTGAAGATATTCATACCAAAGTGCAAGGGATAAGCAAATTTTGATTTGTTATCAATGTCAATGGTTATATTTGTTAACTTTGTAGTATGTTGTAATACATGTACTTCAGAAAATGAAAATCCCTTTTGTTAGCATGGATTTATTACAAGAATGTTTGGCAATTCCATTCTTCATTTGACAATATAATTTGGAAGAGGGTTTACTTATAATCTCTATTTTAAAGTATATTTACCTTTAAAGCACAACTCAACAAATTCATGTTTTCAACAATTTATCTATTAAGAAAGACAAAAATGTTACATTTTCACTTTGAGAATAACATCTTCAATTCATTAATAAAATGATTCTATATTTTGATATTCTTTTTTTATGTAGTACATAGATTTTATTAATCATCATTGCTATTTAAAATAGTCTTATAAGCCAGAAGTTTTATGATGGATTATGACATATCATATCATACATTTATGAGACTTAGGAACATTCAACACATTTAACATGATTACCCATTTTCCATTGTTAGAAAATTCTAGAGGTACAAAACTAAGTGTCAAGAAGTTCAAACTAGAACTCAGTTTTCCATCAGTGCTGGAATGAAAATGTTAATGTAGAAATCTATCAGCTTTGGAACATTTGCTGTCCATTCAATGTCTTTTACTATTCTAATCACAATGCAGTCTACTCTTGTCCACATAATTAAGTCGCAGAATGTTTTGTTACATATGTGTAGCTGGCCTTGAATTTGATGATAGTATGGGTGACTGGTTTTCAGGCACAGGGTATCTTGTTTAAGATCTAAAAAAAAATCAAAAAACACTTAAGTTGTGTTATACCAGTACATATCCCCTCCTTTTTCAATATCTTCATACCATATTGAACAGCTGCACTTGTAAATAAATACATGTTTTGAAATCATTTACTCACCAAGATTTTTAATTTCAAAGTACTGGACAATACAGATTTTTAATGTTATTTACCTATGAAAAATCCTTCAAATTTTGTGCCCCATCTGCTACTGTTGAAGACGATGCTGTGTATGGACACTTCACCTCTACAATATCAGGAATGGCGTCTTTGGCTTCTGGATTTTGATAAAATACACTGCATGTTGGTGGTCGAACAACTAAGCCATCAGGTGAAGCTCCCAACACTCCAGATTCATGCAACCATATCCTTTTCAGAAAAAATTATAATACTACTGAATGCAAACAAACCATAATACAATTGATTTTGTAATGCAAACAAAGTCTAAGTAGAGCTTTTATAATCCTTCCACTTCAAAAAGCAAATTTTCTGGAATATGTTGGTAACTGAATATTTATGCCCCGCCATGAATATGGCCGGGGCATATGGTGTTTGTCATGTCCGTCTTCCGTCCTTCCGTCCCACTTTGTGTTTAGCTCTGTTCAAAGCTAAGTTTCAAAGAAACTATCCAAGATATTTTCATCAAACTTCATATGCTGATAGATATTGATGAGAGCTATGCAACTGCATCAACATTTTTTGACCTTGACCTTTCCTTTGACCTTGACCTGACTTTTCTTAAATAGTGTTTAGCTCAGTTTTAAACATACCATTCAAGATGGTGTTATCAAACTTTACATGTTGATTCAAACTTGCATAGATGATGCATCTAGAGATGAACACTACCGGACTTGCTTCGGATGCTGGATCTGACCTACATTTTCCAGATGAGTGACCAAATTCAAGTTTTTGGAGCAGGTCCATTCTTAAGGAACTATAAGCCCTACTTAGACCAAACTTGCTTGGATGATGCATCTAAGGATGGACACTACCAGACTTGCTTCGGATGCTGGATCTGACCTACATTTTTCAGATGAGTGACCAGGTTGAAGTTTTTGGAGCAGATTTATTCCTAAGGAACTATTAGCCCTACTTGACCAAACTTGCATGGATGATGCATCTAGGGATGGACACTACCAGACTTGCTTCGGATGCTGGATCTGACTTACATTTTCATTCCCAAGTAACTATAAGCCCTACCTAAACCAAACTTGCATGGATGATGCAGCTAGGGATGGACACTACCAGACTTGCTTCTGATGCTGGATCTGACCTATTTTTTCATTCCCAAGTAACTATAAACCCTACCTGAACCAAACTTGCATGGATGATGCATCTAGGGATGGACACTACCAGACTTGCTTTGGATGCTGGACCTACATTTTTATTCCCAACTAACTATAAGCCCTGCCTGAACCAAACTGATCAAATTTTATACATATACAAATTTCATGTTGCTTTACTAATATATCCTCGGCGGGGCATTCATGTCCTATGGACATATTTCTAGTTTTTTTTTACAATTAGACTTCAGTAATTGATTTCTGTTTGTCACCAGGATAAGTCCTGTTATTTGTTTTGACACATTGAATGTTAACATGTAAGAGGTTGAATGAATGTTATTTTGTGCTGTATACCTGACTGCTCTACAGCTGCATCAAAGTCCTTTTTCATACTTTCTCAAAGCATCATCTTCATGAGTGATACCCCATGCAACAGCCTTGATGGACTCCAGATTGTAAGCCGACATCAGCTGTTTCTTCAGTGACAATGTCAATCTGGAGAAGAAAATATGATTTTTGGTTATTAATCTTATATTTCCTGCATCTTTATGTACAAATATCTAGTCATTACAGTCGAACCTCATTATCTCAAACTCAATGAGACCAAGAAAAATGTTGGAAATATCCGTGGATTCAAGAATAATACATAAAGAGTTATCAAGAATTAAATGTCCCAGTCTTTTATAAATGGTTTGCACTTCAAAATTACTTTGACATATCCATGAAATATGAGCTAATGGGTTTGAGATAACAAAGTTTGACTGTAATTTTAAAAGTCTTTTTCGCAAAAATTTAATCACACGTCTTACCGCCTTTGCTTAGAACTGAGAACTGCACCAAAGTTGGAAGCTGATATGCTATATTTCCTTACAATCGACCACATTGGGTTGTTTCGTTGCCAATGCAGCTCTTTTAATGGATTCAGGGATAATGCATGCTGTAACCATACCATAGGGGTATCAGAATGAACATACTCTGGTGATGTTAACAGGTCTTCAATGAGAGGTACAGGTGGACCAGGTTCACATGGCTCTGGTTCAAGAATCCAATTCAATGCTGAAAAATTTCATTACTTGTGTCATTCTCAAAAATATCATCCATAATATCCATATCACATATACCAAGTATTTATATAAGAGTCCATACATTTCATTTTAGTGAACACTGTCATGGGTTTTTGTAATGTATGCATTACATATCAAATTTACAACTCACTTGCATATATTTGTTCAGAATTGTTCCTGTATATAATTTTGCACGTGGCATTCTTAGTGTGAAAATGCCATGTAAAAATTGGTGCAAATTGGTGCAAATGTACAATTAATATTTACTTAATTATTAACAAGGTTTCATAATGACAGAGTATTTAAATAATAGAAGAATGATCTGATAATTCGCAAGAATATGAAACAAAATATTTTTTTTAATGCAATTGAATAATTTATTTTTCCTTTCAAAAATGTATGCTCATGTACAAAAATGCTATCATATTTATAATATTGTCTTTCCAATTATTCAAAGGTTGTTATTAATATTTATTACATAGTATGTTCAAAAATTGGGCATTATTAAAATTAACCATCGGTCAGTAACAAAATAACAGTTTCATAATACTCGTAATATAAAAATCAAATCAAACTTAAATAACAACAATAGTAACACCAAAATCATAACTTCCTTCTTATATTTTACCAATATACCTTCCAAGGTGCAAAAAACACTGGTCACTTTCATCAAAGGGTCGGTTTAAAGCACTTCAAATATGAAGCAAATTTTTTAACAACCGATTTATTTATACATGTACATGTATTAAATGATTGATCATTTTTAAAAAAAAAAAAAACAAGAGGCCCATGGGCCACATCGCTCACCTGAGCACTGTGGCTAGGAAAAAGTAAAAATTGGTTTTTTATTGAAAAGTTTAAATCCAAAAGTAGTCCCTTGACCAATCATGGCTTTGCTTTTCTTGAGAAGGTTATTTTTAAAGAATTTTCCTATATATTTCTATATAAAATTTGATCATCCTTTGTGGCCCCGTCCTACCCCCGGGGGACATGATTTGAACAAACTTGAATCTACACTACCTAAGGATGCTTCCATATAAATATGATCAATCAGGGTTTTGCTGTTCTTGAGAAGAAGATTTTTAAAGATTTTTCCTTTATATTTCTATGTAAAACTTTGATCTTCCATTGTGGCCCCGCCCTACCCCGGGGGTTATGATTTGAACAAACTTGAATCGACACTACCTGAGGATGCTTCCATATATATAGGATCAATTATGGCTTTGTCATTCTTGAGAAGATTTTTAAAGAATTTTCCTATATATTTTTATGTTACACTTTGGTCTGCCATTGTGGCTCCGCCCTACCCCCGGGGGTCATGATTTGAACAAATTTAAATCTACACTACCTGAGGATGTTTCTCCATAAGTTTCATTTTTCCTGGCACAGTGGTTCTTGAGAACAAGATTTTTAAAACATACCATCAAATTTTCATTAATTCCCAATTATCTCCCCTTGAATGAGGGTGTGGCCCTTTATTTAAACAAACTTGAATCCCCTTCACCCAAGGATGCTTTGTGGCAAGTTTGGGTGAAATTAGTCCATGGGTTCTAGAGAAGAAGTCGAAAATATGAAAAGTTTACAGACAGACAGATGGACAGACAGACAGACAAACAGCTAGATAGACAAAATGTGATCAGAAAAGAGCTAGAAATGAAACATTCCTCACCACAAAAGCCAGAAGAATATAGGGACCACCACCAGTAACATGTTTCTGGGAAGAACCAAACCATGCAGAGATAAATATCAATAGTCCTGAATCTTCGATGCAGGACCAAGTACGAGAATTGCTACAAACACTACTCCGGAGACTTACCTATTATCCTATGATGTAACGTACTTTGTCCACTGCAGCTGGTTCCCTGATAAGCTGGTAGCGAGGACAGTTCAGGATGTCCTGTCAACTTTATTCCTCAACTTCCTGTCTTGGACTGAAAAGCAATAAGTGGAAATCTTTAGTGTTGCCTAGTGACTTTGAATTAAAAAGAAAGTTGCAAGATTGTGAAGGGGGGGGGGGGGTACTGATGCTGTCATTTTAATTAAATGTACGAAATCTGTATTTCACAGTTTAATGCATTCATGTATTTTGTGAGTTGTCTTAGGATTCATGTAATAATTGTTGCTATGTATTATTAAGCACTAAATCTATTCAACTGCATGTGTAAATGGGGAAAATGTGGATATGTAAATGATGTATAATTGCAATGTGTAAAATGTGACATTTTCTTATATGAGGGAGTCTGTTCATGTAATTTTTTTTCATTTATTATTTTATTTATCTTGATAAAATTATTTCAATTAACAATATTGTTTTTCTTACCAGTCTGATGAACTCAACAAAGGTTACAGAGGTGAATGGTAGAAATATGGGTATTACAGGTGTCAAAACTCTTCGTTGATGACCAGACTGCATGCCGCACTGTAAAATCACCATTTTGGATCTTTAAAAGGGGAGGCTACTCCTGAAATCAAAGAAATTGTCATAAAAATGAGTAACCTGATTTTCTTTAGGTCTCACACAAGGAAATAATTTCACTATATGTTACTATATAGCTTTAATTAAATAAATTAATTAACTAGACTCTCAGCAGATAATTCATGAATGAGAAAAAAGATTAATGCTTAGACAAAATTTGAGATCAGAAAAAATATACCCCTTATGCGGCTTTTAAGAAAGAAAATTGAGACTAAACATACCTATACCCCGAAATACACATGGGCAAACAGCCAACACACCATCGAGGAAGTTACATCGATCATGCGTACCTAAAAAAAAAGAGTTCCCTTTGATTCAGTGGCACAGTTCTGCTGATATGATATTCCTAGTGCATGAGTCCAAAATTAAAACTGTAGACCTACGTAAAGTTCCTGAAAATGAAAAAAGAAAAGAAATATTATTGTCTCTATATACATCATACATAGAACTACATTTGTTCATTTTAATTAGCTATCTCCTTGCATAAGACCTTTAAGGGTAATTTTATGCTATTTACCATGTGCACTGATTGCCATAAAACTAAAGAAAAAATACCAGCCTTACAAAGTCACTTAACCATGACCTTTGACATACCTTACTAAGAATACCCTGGACAATTTGGTTTAACTTAAGACTTCTGAATTTTTAAATGCAGGTTTTGATAAATTAACCATTTAATATACTTATGAGCTCATAAAACTGTTCTTTAAAACTGTATGATAAAGAGTGTAAAAACTTTGAAACATGTTTGGAAAGTATTATCACACATGTGATATGGGATAAATTATCACCACAGAAAGATCAAAGAAAATCACTGCAGATATGCGACAATAATTCTTATCATTGTTTATTGTATGTCAAGTCTAGAATATGATATATCATTACAAATATTATGATTTTTAGCCGGGCACATTGCTCGTAGAGCAATGCTCAGCTATTGCGACGGTGAGCAACAGAAAATGCTGCTTCTTCACCGCCAAATTGAGTTTACGAGTAAAAGTATGGTACGTGCACCAGCCGCTGTTGAGAAAACAAAATCCATTCAACACCTTAAGAAATAGTAAATTGAATATTTTTATCATAATATTAAATTGCTTAATATTTTTTCCTGACTCCTTTGACTAATATTTTACAAAGTAATTCAACGGGTGCGAAAGGTTTTCACCAGGTATCCCTGTCTGCATCATATTCTATAAACAATATAATTAAAATTAGATGTTAGATCCGCTCGCATTCTCGCGACACTAACATCTAACAAGTCATCCCATTGAGGGTCACGTAAGAGGTTAAATTTGGAACACCTCAAGATTTATTCGCTTCAACAATATATGATGATTTTGCCAGCTGCGATTTGATTAATTGATAGAATTTGACCTCTGACGTGACCCTCAACGGGATGTTGTTAGATGTTAGTGTAGCGAGTATGCAAGCGGATCTAACATCTAATTTGAATTAGATTGATTCTATAAATAAAGGTTGTACTATCAGGCTAACACAAATGCAGGGAACATCATTAATGACTTGATGCAAATCTCCCCGCTGAGGACACATCAGTGCAGAGACGTTTGACCTTAATCTTGCTGCATCGGTGTTTATTTACTTCTGTTTGTATATAAAACCGGATTACCCCGAAACGATACGTGATAAATATTTTTCGCTGTTAATTTCTAGCTATATTTTATTTTATTTTTAAAACTATTTAATATTATACATGCCATTGAGATATTTTTGTGTGTATTACATATTCTCTAAAAGTCTGAACGTGATTTTAAACTGTCACCTTAGTCCTTGTTCATTATCCTGTAAATGAGCCCGGCTCAATACATTTACTATAAAAATAATTGGACAAATTTGTGAATGACAATATTCAATGATGCATAGCAATTAATCTTTTCCTGACATTCACCTTCTCCTAAAAATTTGTCGTGTTATTTATTTATTTATTGCAAAGTCGTCCCTGGACTAGTGCTACGGTCAATGCAGCTGCAATGGGCCATGCAATTTCGAACCCTGCGTGGTGAGAGTTTGTCCCGAGACACAGTTAGATTATTCTAACTAGCACCAATATAGAATAAATCATACCGATTAATCAACATCACTACAATATGAGGACGTAAAAATAGGATAAAACATCCTTTAGTCCAGCAATAAGCCACTAAATTGTTTTTGATGTACCTTCAAACAAATCAAATTAATGTTCTTGATTCCCACTTTTCACGTTATGACTGACTTAGTGCTTCTTGATACCAAAACAATTTTTCTATTACCTATAATTTTGACTTTAGGTTGAATTCGCCAATTTCATGCTTGCGAAGTTGTGTCAATGTGTGCATTACGACCGCTCCGGCTACTTTCGTTATTTCTAACCAATGAAAATTGTCCTTACTTTTCTGTTGCGTTATGCAATTTTATTGCACGCATCACTGAATTGTAGAACACACATCACAAGATTTCGAATATACATCACAAGATTATCGAACATACATCACAAGATTTCGAATATACATCACAAGATTTCGAACATACATCACAAGATTATAGAATATACATCACAAGATTTCGAATATACATCACAAGATATTGAATATACATCACAAGATTTCGAACATACATCACAAGATATTGAATATACATCACAAGATTATAGAATATACATCACAAGATATTGAATATACATCACAAGATTTCGAACATACATCACAAGATATTGAATATACATCACAAGATTATAGAATATACATCACAAGATTATAGAATATACATCACAAGTTTTAGAATATACATCACAAGATATTGAATATACATCACAAGATTTTGAACATACATCACAAGATTTTGAATATACATCACAAGATTTCGGACATACATCACAAGATTTTGAATATACATCACAAGATTTTGAATATACATCACAAGATTTCGAACATACATCACAAGATTTTGAATATACATCACAAGATTTTGAATATACATCACAAGATTTCGAACATACATCACAAGATTTTGAATATACATCACAAGATTATCAAATATTGCAACGTTTGACATGCCATAGGCGCGCAACATCGGCGATCAAAATATGCATATTGAGAAATTTAAACTTTGAATCGCTGAAACAACCAAAATATTAATTTTCTAACCAAAAAATTTTGATGGATGATTTTAATAGCATATAAACTTTGTTATATCAAAAAATCATGATGCATGATAAAAACCCTTTAAAAGCTCATTTTAAGGATTTTAGATAAAGATTGATATAAAAACAATCCATGAAAACTTTTTTCACCTTAACCCCTTCACTTCCGTACCGGTCAAATTGACCGGTGGCGCGTTAAAACACGACTTCGCGAAAATAAGATCTCCGTATCTATTTTATGGTAGCATGAAGGTATATAAACTATGTATCATCTTCTTGGAAATTTTCTCTACTTTTAAAATATTTAAAAAGATTATGTCTTGATTGCCGGTATTTAATCGGTTTTACGTTGTAAAGACAAACGTGACTGTTTGAAAATGGCGTAATTTTCCAAAGCAATTGCCGATTTTCCGAACGATTGACATTTTTTTCCTGATTAACTTTATAAAGAAAGTATGGTATATTCTTAAAGCATATTTTCTCTGCTTTTAAAATATGTAAAAATTATTGTTATTACTTTAAAGTATATTTTTAAAACAAGAATTTTCTTGCACTTATGTGTTTTTTCTCGATTTTATTAGTAATGTTTAAACAAAGCTCAGTTTTACGTTTATTTATGTGTTGAAATAGGGAAAACAAAATAAAGCTGGTAAAAGTAGAGAAAATTTCCTTTCCAACAAGCCCTTACAGCCCTTCTTACGCCCAGTATTTTCTTAATTACGATAATTTGAATTTGTGACCTTGGCATAGTTTTTATGGAAAAATCGGTCAATATTTACCTGTAACGCCAAGGTTGACATTGTTGCGTCTTATTCGAAACAACAAATTCTTTTATAAGACTTTTTTGACCATTTAAATAGATATTTTTTACTAAAATAAATGCACAATACAAAAAAAATAGATTTCAAAAAACAAATATTTACTATCGTTCTGCCTTTTGTGTAAAATGAAATGTTAATTTATTCATCCACATGTAATGATGTAAATTTCATGTAGTTAGTCAGCCCGCGGGCTGACTAGTTGGATCCGGGCCACAATTAAAGGGTGAAGGTCAAATGGCTAAAACGTAGCACATGTAGGAAATTCATATGCCTCCCTTTCAATGATAAAAATAAAAATAGCTCACATGTTTTAGATACTTTTTGGGTATAAAATAAAAGTAGAGTGTCTAAAGTTTACAATGATATGCAGCAAGGTGCATTTCAAGCAAAAATTATGCCTAGAAATATGAATTGAAAAAAGCATTCATTTGGTTTGTTTACACTTTTTTTGCCAAGCGAGAGCTATCCTGAGGTCATAACGTCAGAAGTTTATTAATAACCAGAGAATTCCACATTCAACCCCCCTATTTCTGGATGTGAATATTTATCTGACACATTGCTCTATCATGTGGTCAAAGATATTTTGGAAATGAAGATTTTTAAAAAAGTTACAAAGAAAATAAAACACATGTTTTTACTATATAAGTCTATATGTAAGCTAATTGTGGTCCGGGTCCTTATGATATGGTACGAAGAAGTTCCAATGCGCTTGCGTGACCTGGAATTCTGGGAGTGGTTCTGCAGTAAATCACGCCTGCTAATTTTATTTCAGTAAAATCAATATAGATTGTAAACCAACAAATCCCTATTAAACACCAAAGTAATCTGTAAATTTAACTCAAAAAAGGAATTTCCCGATGCTTATTTTTGTATAGAAGGTTTCAAAAGTTAACTGGTTCGCAGTAATTTAACTGGTTCGCACATGATCATGTGTTCTACGCAGCGAAGCATACAGTTGCTACTGTTGGATGAATTTAGTGTTTGACGCGTAAATTGAAGCTCTTTTATAGCGAGCGCAGCGAGCGTCGCGAAGCGACGCTCGCGAAGCGAGCTCAATAGACTAACGTGTATGAACAGAGGAAATTCGGATTGAAATCTGTACATACGTCAGCCAAATTTTTCTGTGCAACATTCCCAGAATTCCTGCACTACCCAATGTCCTTTGCGCGAATAAATCAAAAATAGTAAAAAAATTAAAGGAACATTGTTTCTTACCGAAATCTTAACGAAATGATTTTGCCTTACCTTATTCAAAAGAATACCCCCATGCCACAACACCGGCCTTCACCTTGCCCTTCGGAAATGATACAAATGACGTCACCGGAAACTTACGAATTTTGACGAAGTTATGTCGGTTGCTTCCGTGAAACTCGGAAAACATAGCAACATGGTGGCTAAAACATAGCAACAACTTACTTGAAAAGAACGGGCAGTGTCTATATGCACGACCGTCGTGCACTTACTTTTTCAACGGCTATTCGCACGACCGTCGTGTACATAATTTTTCAGTGACTATTTGCACGACCGTCGTGTATATAATTTTTCAGTGTCTATTTGCACGACCGTCGTGTTTATATATAATATTTATCAGCTGTTCGCACGACCATTATATTTCTTATTATGGCGTTCGTTTTTTCGTACCCAGTTAAGTTCGGCACGCAGTAATTAAAGCCCCAAAAGCCTTTTGGTAAGAAAACATCGCAAAAACTTTCTTTCATGATGTTAATTTATACAATAAAATGACATTTAGGTCCAATGGACAGATCGTTGTAATGTAAATCTGTTTCTTTTAGAACTACCCATGTATTTGTATATATATATAAACAAGTCATTTTAATAAAATATTGACTTACTATTTTGGTAGGCCTGGGTTTACCCTTTCCACCTCAACCCTTATCCCAACAATTAACACGAGCCAGGGCGCATTTGATAAGCATTTTCACCTACTCTAGTACTGAATTCTTAATACACACTTTTATAACGGTAAACCAAAAACTTGTCATAAAACCTTAGTTTTATACTGTTATACTCGTGAAATTTCAAAGAACTGCGAACGATAGTATTGTTCTCCCGCCTACCTCCAAGTCAATTTTCAAAAGTTAACATATTCGATGAATTTTTTTTATAT